GCTTGGAGAGTCCTCTCTCCTCTGTCCCTCATTGAACAATGTTCTACCTCGCTGCACATCAGAGCTAGTTTTGCATCTAACTCTGCAATCTCATTTCATGAATCTTCCTTTCACTGACTAAATATATTTCAACATTATTGTTCAGCTGGTTCTGAATATTTGGAGCTCTTTCTATAATCCAGGCACTGCACTTGACTTACACTATCAAGTTTAAGTCTCACAGACTTCTATAGGTAGGAACTTTTGCTATCTTCCTTTAACAGACAAAGAAATTGAGGCTTAGAATTTCACAGTTCAGTTTCACCCAGAGTAATACAGTAGTAATAGACCAGGCTACAGAGTAGCTATGGAGCTGGGATTCACACTTGGATCATCTGACAGAAGCCTGGGATCTGGACGTCTATCTTATACCATGTCTATATTGTGGGGAGAATTGTGTCCTCTGCCTCCGCCTGTCTTAACCCCCAGAACCTGTGATTCTGACCTTATTTGGAAATAGGGTCTTATAAAGAATACCTGAGAAGAAAGCTGTGAGGAGACAAACCAAAGGACAGACACACATACACAGGAACATGCAGACAGACAAAGGTGGAGCGGAGGAAAGATGTGAAATGAAGAATGTCCGCTCCTCCCTCCTGCCGAGTTTATTAACTCAAAAAAAGTCACATAGCATGTCACCATGACTACATTCCAATTAGAATTTCTTCAATCGAGAGTGCTAGTAAGGCCCAGGTGAGTCCAAACACAAGGCTCCTAGGAAACGAGATAGTGCACCTGCATAGTCACCTTGACAGCTTCAAAGGGGGACTGCTGGGCATCCGAGGGCTGGGAACAGGGTCAACTTGTGAAGGACATTGCGATGGCAGCTGGGCATCCCGTGCTTTTGCACAGGGGTTTCTCAGTAGCCAGGTGTTTCCTAGCAGCTGGGCATTCTGTGTCTGCACAGAAACTTCCTATTCACCCAGCATGTCACAATCACGAAGCTTGTTGACCTCAATCCCAAACACAGAACTCCTTTAGTCAAGCCTGAAGATGAAAGACAGATCTAGCAGAGTGAGAGGGGACCTGATAGAGGTTGTCCTGGAAATAGGGTCTTTGAAGACTTAAACATGAGGTCACTCGGGCGGGTGATCCTTAATCCAGAAGGACTGTGTTTTCTTTTTTTTTTTTTTTTTTTGGTGCTGGGGTTTGAACCCAGGGGCACTTAACCACTGAGCCACATCCCCAACCCTTTTAAAATATATTTTATTTAGAGACAGGGTCTCACTAAGTTGTTTAGGGCCTCCCTAAGTTGCTGAGGCTGGCTTTGAACTCATGATTCTCCTGCCCCATCCTCTGACTGGGTGTTCTTATAAGAGAGAAATCAGGACAAGAGACACAGGAGAATGTCATTAAAAGACAGAAGCAAAGACTGGAGTGATGCATATACCAGGAACGCCCGGGCCTGCCAGAGGAGGCCGGGAGGAAGGATCCTCCCCTAGATCCTTCAGAGGGAGTGTGCCCTCCCAATATCTGATTTCCAATCTTTTGCTTTCCAAACGGTGAGGCAATGTATTTCTGCTGTTTTAAGTCACTCAGTTTGTGGTACTTTATTTGGCAGCCCTAGGAAAATGGACAGCATCTGGCAGTTGCTTAGCTATGGAGGTGAGAGAGGGGCAGGGGGTCAGTGACTCCCAGCAACCTTGGTGCCTTCAATATGGCAACCATGCTTGGAAGGTCATCTCTCTTCTGTCCCTCATCTGTGTTTGAAAATGTTCTACCTCATTACACATCAGGACATGCTTGGTCTGGGGCTCCCCGACCACATCAAGGGCTCCTGGGATTGAAAGACTTTGTAATGGGGGGAAAGGGCCACTGAGTGTCGTGGGCAGCATGCTCTTTCTGAGACATCTCTTTTACATTGCATTAACTACAACAGAAGTGGAAAAGATCCTTGTCCGACAGAATATAATCAATGATTTCCCTGTGGATTCTGACCAGTTTTGCATCCACTTATAAATTTATTGCAGCATTCCTGATGGCCTAGAAGCATGTGTTGTGGGATGCCACTTGTAAAGCTACTTGAGTGGTCTTATACTTGATACCCAGCCATGGGGGACTTAGGTCTCCCCTTGGGAAAGATCCCAGCATTCCCGTGTGCAGACTGCCCAAGGCAGTGAGGTCTGTGCCCCTGCACTCTTAGTGGGACAGCCCTTGTAGCTCCGGAGTTGGGCGTAACCCATTGGGAACTAGACAGCCCACCCCCTACCTTATTTGGCGAAGAACATTCCATGGAAAACCTTTGATGTTTCCCCCATATAAATAAAGCAAGTGAGGGCTCTCGCTCTCTCTTTCCAGTGTGGAGTTTCGATCCCTAAGATCAGACAGCTGCCCCCACCCTTTCTAAAATTACTTCCTGTGTCCTGTGGTTTCTTCGTCTTTTCTCCTTCTTAGCTTTTATTCTGCAGCCAGCCTGCTACACGCAGAGGAAACCCAAATTCCACCACCCGCCCAGACAGACACAGGCGAGATGTGTTCTTTGAAATGTCCTTTGAAGCTGGACAAAGTGGCACTCAGCTGTAATCCCAGCTGCTCCATTGGAGGCTGAGAAAGGGAGGATCCCTAGTTCCAGGGCAACCTGTGCAACTTAGCTGGACCAAGTCTCAGAATAAAAACTTAAAAGGGCTGGGGATGTGGCTCAGTGGTAGAGCACCCCTGGGTTCAACCCCCAGTGCCCCCCAAAAAAGCAGCCTGAAATGTTCTTTGAACCATGGTAATATTTTCCTGATTTCCTCATTAATCAATGAGCTACATGAAATGTTTGACCCGTGTTCATATTTGTGTGAGAATCTTAAAAATATTATCCTTTAGCATCTGCTTCAGCTCTCAGACTGTGGCCCCACCCGACCCAGGCCCCAGCAGAACACAGAGTCAGGACGCACTCGGAAGGGAGACAGGGGCCTCCATAGCAGAGGCCCAGGCTGAGCTAAGCTGAGGGGACAATCTGAAGTCTTTTATTTTTTTCTTGTGGTGCTGGGGGTGGAGCCTAAAGCCCCATGAGTGACAGCAAGTTCTTTGACCCTGAGCTCCAGCAGCCAAGGGGGAATTCTAAAGTCCTTCCCCACTCTGGAACTCCCCCACAAAGGGAATTTTTTCAAAAACACCACCCATGGAGTCAAGGTGAGGTAATAAGGATTTCCAGCCTCAACACTCTCAGAAAGCCAGGTACCCTGCACTGTGGAAGTGACAAAAACAAGCGGAGTGACCAAACTCTCCAGATCTCCATTGAGCCCAAATAACATGATGGTGAGTAGTTTTCGGGGGGGTCAAAGCAAAACTTGCACCTGGCTTATGTTAAACAGGTAAGGAAGACCTGGTTCAAGAGTGTCACAGAGGGAGAGGCCAGAACTTAGGCTGAACTCGACTCTGATGAAACCAGGGTTTTCTAAGGTCACTGTCTTTGCTAATTGGCTTTGCCCAAAGGAAAAGGGAGCTCTCTCTATCTTTTTTTTTTTTTTCCAGTACTGGGGATTGAACCCAGAATCTCACACATGTGGGCAAGCACTCTACCTGAGCTACACCTGCAGCCCTTTTTATTCTATTTTGAGACAGGGTCTTGCTAAGTTGCCCAGGCTGGCCTCAAACTTGCGATCCACTTGCCTCAGCCTCCTGAGTAACTGGGTTTATAGGCATGCACCATCACACCCTCTGAAAAGGGAGTTTTCTTGTGTCTTCATGACAAAGGGGCCTACTAAACTCTACCAAAGATAGGCTCTTGCACCACTATGGAAACCGGTAGATGGGAGTGCCCTCTCCTGTGATGGGGACATTTCAGAGATGGTTCCTAGGTCTTTGAGAAAGCATGTCCTTGGATATAAACTAGCAAGAGCTTGAGATTCATATACATCTCAAACATGCAGAGAAAGAAATTGACAATATCTTATTGGAAGTAAATGTTCTGAGAAAAGGAAGTCAGGGACCTCTGTGGTTAGGCTAACTGGATTCTAAGACTTGGGCTCAGAGGGAGGTCAAGGGCCCACAGGCAGGAAGAAGTATGTCTAAAGTTAAGTAAAAAATAAAGTTTAGTCAATCTGTGCGCAGGTGTTAATACCCTTAGGACAGCCTGGCATCTGGCAAAATTTTCTTTAATTGCTGAATTCTTGTAACTCTAGTAACTATTTTTAAAATTTTTTGTTTTAGATATAGGTGAACACAATACCTTCATCTTTTTTTATTTTTAGGTGGTGTTGAGCATTGAACCCAGTGCCTCACACGTGCTAGGCAAGCCCTGTACCACTGAGCCACAACCTCAGCCCCCATATAACTATTACTGATGTTACCATTTGTCAATGTAATGCATATATCATAGTTCATGTGTTAAATCATGACCACTCAAGCTCTTATTCTCTTACCATAATCATTATTTACTATTGTTTTTAACCTATGATTAATAGTAATATTGGTAATATTACTATTATGTCACTATTCCCCACATCTGGTGTCCCCCACATCAAGCAGTCCCAACACCTAACAGGACCACTTTTTCCCCTCTGGGGTCAGGCTTCATCTTATTGGGAGGATAGAGGTTGGACTCAGTTCTCAAGTCCCCAACATGAAGTAAAAATGGACAGTAGCACCCTGGCCCCTTTGGACCAGGTGGGACCAGGTGGGTGAGTCCACTGAATGATTCTTCATAAACCAGATGGATGGCAAGGAGCTGGCCCCTCTGGAGGTTGCATTAACCCAGTACTTGAAGCTTCTCTTGGCTCTAGCTTGCTGGAGGACCTGTTCACCCCTCCACACTGCTTAATGGTTTCTACCGACCTCCCCTCACCAGTAGGATCACCTACAAGCTGGTTCAACCCCATGAGATAAAAGGAGTTCCAACCACAACCCCCCACCCCAGGACCATAGCTCTAGATCTCAGCTTCTCTACTTGCAAAAGGTCTTGGAATGCATGCCCTAGCTCAGCTTCAAGGTTATTGTGAAAAATAAATAAAATGGAAATGACTCCTTTAAAGCACTGTACAAAGTATTAAATCTTTATTTGAAGCCTTTCTGTGCCCAAAACTGGCCACACAGAGTTGTAGGCACAGTCCCTGCCCTGGAGGAGCTCACAGTCTAGAGTGGAAGGCTGCAGGAGCCTGTGACCGTGCTCAAGGGCAGAAGCCATGACCCCTGGCACCCACAGTGCAGCTGGGCCCTGGGAAAATGGACAAGAAGTTTGTCATCCACTCCACCAACCCTCCCTGGGACAGCAGGCTTCTCTCACTCTGTCCTAGGCACCAGGAGGGGATGCAGTTGCTGCTTGGAAAAGCCAGAACACCCCAGCAGCTTATATAGTTAAATAGTTACAAGGGTAACTATTTCCCCAAGCCGCAAACCAGTGCAGCTGAAGCTGGAGGAACCCAGGGCATCTAAAGAACCCAGGCTGGGCCAGCCCAGTCCAGAGGTGGGAAACGGAAGTAAGGCAGATTTGGCACCCCGAGCCAGGAAAGTCAGGTGAGGGGAAGTTTCCAGGTGGAAGAGCTCATACTAGGGCCCCAGCAGTCACAGCCAATAGAAGAGCTGCCAGCCCGGCCCCCAAGGTTGTAGTGCCTTTGTTAGAGGTGTGCTGGCTGTCACCTTTGGAGGGATACTGTGCCGAATTACTGCGGTCCTGGTGGCCAGCAGCACCTCCAGCCAATCGTGACCCCTCTTCCCGGGAGACCTCAGGCTGTACTTCCTGGGGAGTTGTCTGGCTGGTTGGGGCTGGGGTGGGTTTGGTGGTAGAGGTGGCGGCAGTTGGGGCTTGCGTGGAAGTGGGGACAGAGGTACTTGGGATATGAGTGGTTGGAGCTGGAGTGGTTGGAGGGGGCAGCAGGACAAGGGGTGGGATTCGAGGAGAGAAGTAGGTCTTGTTGCGGAGGTCCGAGTTACAGCGGGAACCCTGGCAGCAGGAGCCACTGAGGGTGAACCCCGGGCCTGTCACCCCATCCCGGGTGCAGGACTCATCCTGGACACAGCCCCGTACAGGCAAGGACACAGTCACGTTAGCTGCAGGAGGGAGACACAGATAGTCAGTGGTTGGAGGGAGGAGGTTGGTACAGTCCAAATAAAAATTAAGGGCACCTGGAGCAAGACAAGACAACAGAAAAGACTCTGCACCCATTAATCCCAAAATCTCAATGCTGGTCACTCCCTGCCAAACACTGTCCCATTGACTTTGGCACATGGTGGGCCCCATTCCTACACAGTGCTTTGAGAGAAAGAGCGTGCAGCCTGAACTAGGAGTGCCTTAAAATAAAGGCTCCGACTGGGAGATTCAACATCTTTCCTGTGACCAAAGATCAGAAGGAACTTCCATTATGTGCCTCTCACCACTCACCCACCTCCATCCCCACCAAACTGAAATCTTATAATTGGAACTACGTCTCCCATAGAACACCTGGTGCCAGATGGAGTTGAAGAATTTCATCTCCCACGGTTCCCCCAGGTGGGGGGTGAGAGGCTGAACCACTTATCTCCTAAAAATGTGAACAGGTGAGGATCCCTGAGTTTTAAAGACATGGAACTAGATTCCCTGCACTACCTGGCAGAAGCTTAGAGGCTTAAACATATTTTCCATTGCATGTCCTCATATTTTGTACTTGGAAGCCTTCTATGGAAACATATCCTCTCCCCACCCCACTAAAAATACGTTAGGACAAAAACGTCCCTATCCTCAAGGACTGCATTTCCCACAATGCTCTAGGACAAGACAAGCTCTTAGGCACAAGGACAGTCTCCAGAAACCCTTTTTTGGCAAAAAGCCCCCGTGCCCCAGGAAAGCTACCCAACTGTTAACAACTGCAGGCTCACTCACCTGCGGTCAAGGTGACGTTGCCATCGAAGCAGCCCTTGTAGACGCGGTCGCTGGCATTGTAGCAGCTCACGACCGGCGGCGCTGTACCCTGGCACTTCTCGTGGCTCAGCCCCACGCAGCTGTAGCACTCGGAGCCGTTTGGTTCATACGCACTCTCATTGCCTGCAAGGAAACCCGGCGAAAGAAAGGATGGAGGGGGCTCGGGAAGCACTGCTCGGCCCCCCAGTCCCACCTCTGAAAAATGCGTTTCCATAGAGGGCGTGGCCCCCGTCCACCGGTGACACCCCCGCCATCAGGTTTAGCTCAGCTCCCGGCATCAACCAGTCTATGCCTACGGTGAAGCCCCGCCGGCTGTCCGCTGAAGCATGACCCAACCCCCGTCCAGGAGGAGTACCCGCCGTCGCCGCCTCGGTTAGCGGACGCCCCCGCTCCCGGGACTGCTGAGACCCCGCCCCGGGCCTTCGGTCCCGCCCCCACCGACCTGCCGGGTTGAGCCCTCGCGAGGTGAGGTTGAGCTTGGCGTTGCAGCGGTCCTGAGCGCACTGCTGCAGCTGGATGAAAGCCAGGAGCCCGTGGAGGTCCAGTCCGCGGTCATTCTTGCCCGGGAGTCCGGAACCGCAGCCCCGAACTGCCACCGAGAATTGCCCGTGGACTGCGAAAGGGGAGGGGCGGGAGACAGAAAGGCGGGGCCTCAGAGGGGCGTGGCCATGAGGGGCGGGGCCTCGAAAAGAACCCTGGAAGATAGACCAGCCAGGATCAGGCGGCCAGGGCGCACCAGGAGCAGATCCAAGCCCGGAGCAGGACCAGCGGAAGGAGGGGAGGGGTCGTGGGGCGGAGCTTCAAATAGCAGAATCGGGGAGGACCCACTGGGTGACAGAAAGGGACGTAATCGAGGAGGGAGGACCAAAAGTAAAGCTAGGACCCGCAGGGTCAACCGCAGAAAGCAACCTCAGAAGGAACCAAGAGACTGACAGTAAAGGTATAGGATCAGAGGGGGAGGGCCCTGGGGGCGTGGTCGTGGAGAGAGGGACCGTACAAAGCACTAAGCCCGGAACGAGGGGCTTCCGCAGAGGGTGGGGAGAGGGGAGGATCCTCGGACTGGGAACACTGAGGCTGGGACAGGGGAAATTTCCCGCAGGAACAGAATGAGCAGGGAGGTCTCAGCGGTGGAGAGGAAAGGGTGGGTCGGATAGTCCCCTGTCCTGGGCTCAGGTTCTCCCAGTCCGTCCCACCCAGTTCGCAGCTCCCAACCCCCGACCCTCGTAAGCCCCCGGAAGGAGGGGTGAAGCTGTGCTGAAAGGGAGGAATGGACAGCGTTGAAGGTTATGGCCTGGGTCACATGAGTCTGTAAGGAGGCGGGCGGGCTGGAGCACCCTGAAGGGGCGTGGACCACGCGGGGCACTCACTGGTCTCCACCGCCCCCACGGCCTCGGTGCAGACATCCACGCCCGGCGCGCACTTCACCGTCTTCATCTTCTGCGGAGAGCATCCATCGTCCGCTTTCTGCACGCAGCTGTAGCACTCCAGGGCCTGCGCTCCTGCGGGTGCGAGACCGAGTAGAACTGAGCGGTCCTGCCACGCCTCCTCCCGCACAGGACAAAGAGGCCTTCCCACGCTCTGTCCCGGGATGAGAAAATCCCACTGCACAGACTTTTCCAGGGTAGCACTAAAGGAAATCTTCCCACTAATCCGGGGGCACTGGATACTCTGGGCCCTTTCCCCTCTAAACCCCGGTGGGAGCATCCTTCTCACGGTTCCGAATGTCCAAGGTAGGGAATTCCTGCTGTGAGGCCCCTTGTCCCAGGATGGGGGATACCTTCCCGCAGTTCTCTGCTCGAGGTGGGAGAACTTTTCCTACAGCTGATGCCTTCCCCCAGTTCCGTCCGGGAAGGGCTGGGACCATTCAACAGCCTGCCTTTACCAGGATCGAGACCTTTCCCCACAGGCCTCTCTGCCCATGGTGGGAGATCCTCCCCAGAGCCCTCCTCCGCAGAAGCCCCCTCTCCACCTCCTCAGATCTTCCAGCCGCAGACCCACCTTCGCGAAGCAGTAGCGGCAGCAAGAACAGCCAGGCTGTGCTCCAGATCACTGCCCGGGCATCTGCTTTCCCGGCGGGGCCCATGGCTCTGTCCTGCTCTCTCGGCGTCCCCCTGGGTGTGCCGCCTCCCAGCCCGGGTCCTCTTACCTGAGCCTAGGATGAGTAACCTACCCCGGGGCAACCCTGGCCTTGCCCAACCAGGCCAAGTCAGCGTCCGCTGCGGGGCGGGTGGCCCGCCCCTAGGTGCGTCACGCTTAGGGAGAGCGGGCCCCTGCCCTGTGCAGATGCCAAGGAGGGAAAGGGCGGGAGGTTCCCCGACATTCCCTGGGAGAAAGTCTGTGTGTGTTTGGAGTGCGGAGGGAAGAAGGCAGGGGCTACTCAACATTCAGCGTTCAATAGCTATGTAACCTGTATGTGCGGTGTGCCCTACTTTGGTGTGGGTGGTGCTAGAGAATAAGACAGAACCAGCACCTGTCCTCCAAGAGCTCCCAGTCTGATGGGGGAGACAGATGTCAATCAAACAACCATTGCAAACTGTTATGCACAATGGAGACGAGGATGATGGAGACAGTGTAGGGAGCTACCAGGAAGGATGGAGTCTAGGTGTGGAACTGGTTTTCTCTGAGGAGGTCGTCTGAGATGTGACTTCAGACACAGGGATTTAGCCAGGTGGAACAGGGTGGGGGAGAGGGCACATGAGAAAAGCCCAGCGGTGGGAAGCAGCACTATCCATTCACAGAGGAAAGCCCAGGACAGAAGGGGGAAACTGAGGCAGAAGAGTCAGGCAGGGGTAAGCCCAGGGAAGAGATTTGGATGAATTGTGAGAAAGGTGGGGAACCTTTGAAAGGGTCTAAATCAATTGGGGGACATGGTTAAATTTGCTTTTCAATATGATCAATCCAGGAGGTAGTGCAAACATCTGTCAAGGAATAAATGGGGACTGGGGAGGTAGTTCAGTGATAGGGTGCTTGCCTGACATACCTGAGGCCCTGGGTTCGATCCCCAGCACCACCAAAAAAAAAAAAAAGTGAATGGAAAATAAAGAGTGGTTCATTCACCCAATGGGCTTCTACCCAGGAATGGAAAGATCCAGCAAGAGGTGTTTGCAGCCACATGGATACATCTTTATGTACTTTGCTGAAGGAAAGTTATCTTCAATTAAAGCAAAGAAAAGGGGCCACTGTGGCCTCCATGTAAAGATAAAATAAAATAAAAGGAAAAGAATCTAAAAGAAGCAAGAGAAGACCAGAGGACAGATGAGGCAGCTCCTAGGTAAAAGGAGAGAAACAGCCCGTAAGAGCTGGGAGTCGGCCTGGCACTCACGGAGAGGTGGAGGGATCTATTGCACATAAAATCATCTCGCAAACACCAGCATCAGCCAAGGTCATGCTGTGACTGTGAAAAATGCAGACAAAATCAAGACCACTCCATACCCATGTCTGAACCCAGAAACAAATAAGATCATTATGCAAACCACAAAATGACTAAGCATCCTCGTATCCTGCCTAATACAAGTGACTGTTTATATTACTAATATTAATATAAGCTATGACTTTAACCTTGCTTTGTCTTTCCTGTCTCATAAATAAGATTAATAAAAATACCCAATCATAGAATTACCCCTTCTTGGTGACAGTAACCAATCCAGAGCAAACTCCACTTCCTGGGACCGTCCTCAAAATCACTACCCGTGAGTCCAAATCCTAAAATGAGTCTTTTCTAGTTTCCTGTTACTGGTATGCCTCTCAGGTCTCCCATGATGTGCATTCTCCCTCATTGCAGGGAGCAATAAACTCAGCTTGTTCCACCAAAGGTGTGTTCCTGGTGGAGAACGTGGGCAGAGGCAAGGGATGGTGCACTTTGGCCTTAAGTGCTAGCAAAGGAAACAGGTGGGAGATCCTCCTTCTAAACGGGGGACGCAATGTCACATTTAATCCTCACCTTAAGTATGGCTTTTAAATGATCATTTACTGAACACCTACTCTGTGCAGAGTACTCTCTATGAATCCTCCCTGACTGCCTTAACAGCTCTGCAAAGAGAGGACTGAGCCCCATTTCACAGATGAGGAAACTGAGGGTGAGAAGTGGAAGTTGGAAGTGGAGAACTTGGCTTTGACTCCAGGGCTGTGTTCAGAAGTCTCTGTTGCTGCTTGTTAGGGTTGATCCTAAGATCATATTTTGCAATGGCTCTTAGTTTTGGAGCTGGCCAGATTTGGGTCTGAGTCCCAAATTCTGATTTGCTGTGTGACCTTGGGCAAGTGGTCCCAATACCTTGATGTTCAGCAACTTCCTGTATAAACAGAAATAATGACAAAAACACACCTAGTCAGCTTTTTCTATGACACTGTTTCACACTCTACCTGCTGTTGCAGCCCTATGAGAATTTTTAAAGATAGTCAGTTTACAAATGGGGAAACTGAGGCAGAGAGAGGGTAACCAACTTGCCCAGGGTCACACAGCTAGGAAGTGAGAGAGGCACTGTGGTCAGACTCAGGCAGTCTGGCTTGAGGACTAACACTTAGGTATGCGGGCACTCTGGTTACCAACTGTGAAGCTGGCCTCTGTGTGCCCCAGTGTCCTTCTCTGTGAAATGAAGACCTTAACAGTACCTGCCTTATGGCTGCTGTGGAGACTGATGTCAGATGTGTAAAGTGCCTAGTTCTAGGTGCTACAGAAGCATTAGCCACAGCCAAGTGCAGTGGCACACGCCTAAAATTCCAATGAATTAGGGAGCTAAGGCAGGAGTTTTGCAATTTTGAAGGAACTTAGTGAGACGTTGTCTCAAAATAAAAAATAAAAAGGGCTGGGGAGGTAGCTCAGTGGTAAAATGCCCTGGGTTCATCCCAGTATAAAAAAATTAACTATTATTAGTACTATAAATAGATTGTTGTTGTTATTATTATTAGTTACCAACAGCCCCCCTTCTTGAACTCCAACTGTGTGCCAGGCAGGGAGCTCGTTGTTTTAAAGCAACCTCTTCATGAATTCTTAACTAAAGGGTGGAGTAAAGTGCCCATTTCACAGAGGAAGAAACCAAGACCCAGAGAGGTTCAGGTTCACCCAGCAAGGGAAGCAGCAGACTCGGCTCCATCTGGGTGGCTTGCTGTCTGATAGCAAGAAAAATAGCGGCTATGTCCATTAAGGTCTCTGTTCTCCAGACCCTGTCCAGCTGTTCCCTGTTCCCGGCAATGACAAGCACCCTTGTCATATAGGTGGGGTCACTTGGCATCCTCCTGAAGCTCAGAGAGAGAAAGTGAATGACTTCTTATGAGGTCATTCAGCACTGGCTCTGGCCTTCCTGTTCCTAGCCTCAGAATCCCAGCCCCACATCTGGTTTGCTGTGTGACACTTCACCTCTCTGAAGCTCCAAGGTATCCTTTTTTATAAGAAAGGAAAAGATGTCTTTTATGGTGGAATGAGGCATTGGGCAAAGTATAAAGTCTAAAATTGAATACACTGAAATTTTCATCCTGCCTTCTTGCTGTGTGATCCCAAACAATTCAATCTCCCTCTCTGAACTTCAGCTCCTTCCTTTGCTGAATGTGTATTAAAACCCTCCCTCCTGAGGGATGGAGTGAGGACCGATGGGTGGCAGGTAGAGTGATAATACTATTATTGTGTACTTGGGAGCAGGAGGCCCCAGCAGCGTGGGAGAGTTTCAGGGAGGAACCCCAACTGGCCCAACCAGAAGAACTAGCGTCTTGGGAGGGAGTGGGACCCAGGGTGGGGAGTCTTCTCTTGCTCAGGCCTGCCTAGATTCTGGGCTGCTGACCTACACCTGGCCCAGGACCAGAGATCAGAGACCAGAGACCAGAGGGAGTTTTGAATTCACCACCTCCATGTTCTCCTGGCCTCCTTCCCTTCTCCACAGTCGGAATTCCCTGCAAAGACAGTGTAGAATCTGGTTCAAGTAGATATATAGAGAGGTCAAGGTAGAAGCAGTCCCAGCAGCTAGAGGTCACCTAGGGCCTCAGAAGCCTGGGGCCATATCCATGATGGGGTTCATGACCCCTGGGGCAGGGCAGGCTCTGAGTCTCAGATCTACTCCCTGTGGAACATACTTTATGGGACTTAAAAGGGAAGGGATGGGCAGGGCCAGTCAGTTGCTTTTTTAGGGGGGTGGGGGGCTGAACTCAGGGATGATCTACCATTGAGCTACACTCCCAGCTCTTTTTTTTCTTAGTTTGTTTTGAGACAGAGTTTCAAGTTGCCCAGGTTAGTCTTGAACTTTCATCCTCCTGCCTCAGTTGCTGGGACTCCAGGCATGCACTGCCACACCAACTCAGCTGCATTAATTTTTGAGGCCCAGTGTAAAATGGAAATGTGGCATAGGGATACTTGAGGGACCAGCATGGACCCTCACAGGGGCTACCTGATTGCTGGGTTCCCCTCCTCACCAGGGGCCACTGCCATGCTTCACCCCAAGATGCCATGAGACACAAGTACCCACCCGAATCTTGCTGAGGCAGGAGGATTGAGTTCAAAGCAAGCCTCTGCAACTTAGTGAGGCCCTAAGCAACTCAGCGAGGACCTAAGCAACTCAGCAAGGCCCTGTCTCTAATAAAATATAAAAAAGGGCTGGGGATGTGGCCCAGGGGTTAAGTGCCCTGGTACCCAAACCAAACAACAAATAAACAAAAACTCCACTGTTCCACCAAACTTCATTACCAAACACACATTCAAAGATAAAATTATTAAGAATTTTCAGATGATGATCACAGAACACAAAATTTAAGAGCAGGGCTCTTCTGTTGACTAGATTGGTCACATGCCTGTGAAGCTGGCTCCGTTCTGGGGGCTGGGTGATGAACTGATCCAAGAATTCAGAAGTCTCACAGCTGGAGGTGGGGTCACCTGGGGTCCTGGGGATTTGTACTCCCAGGACTCAAGAACACTAGATCGAGATCCGGGATCCTCAAGGAGGCTGTCTGAGGGGAAGAAAGAGCTGTCTCCAGAGGGACAGCCTAGAGTGCTGGTGGGGGGAGAGGGAGAGGACTGCGGCAGCCCGGGCACTTGACCCAGCCTCAGGACCAAGGAGAGCTTCTCCTAGGAGGGGATGTGCCAGGTAAGATCTAAAGGTGAAGTCAGCCCAGGAGCCGGCTGCCTTGTTCACAACTCTCCTGGTCCTTAGCATCTATCCCTAACTCATTTATTCAACCATAAGACATTCCTTCAACACCTAGTGTGCAGCACCTGAGCCCTTTGGTGTGTGACAAGGACTCAGTAGTGATCAATAGAGCCCCAGCCCCTGCCTCCTGGAGCTCCTAGACCAGAGGGAGAGACTAATTCATCAGCAAGGAAGGCCTAGGACAGTCAAGGCCACGATGGGATAAGCACTGGGCAGAGTGGGCAGGTTGTGCTGGGAGGCAGAGTGGTCAGGACTGTCGTGGAAATCCCTGAGGAAACCTCTGATTCAGTCAGGGCAATCAGGGAGGGCTTCCTGGAGAAGGAAACACAGGTGCTCCTGCCTAAATGAGAAGTGGGTGGAGTGTGGAGATGCCTAGACAAATAAATAGAATGGACAAAAAGACCCAGAGGGGACAGGGACACATTCTTCTCGTTTTCATGGAATATTTGTCCTACTGGGGACACAGAGGTCACCAGAACAGCCCGGCTCTGTCCTCATGGAGTTCCCCGTCCATAAAGAGCACGGGTCATCACGGTGACAAGCCAGTGCTCAGGGATAGGATGGGAACTCAGAGGAGGCGCCTGACCAGCCAAGGGGGCCAGTGAGGACTTCCTGAAGGAAGGAACATGAACTGGACCTTGGAAATGACGAGCTGGTTAAGGAAGAGCAGGCAGAGGGGAGAGGGGGCCCGGGAGTTCCAGAAACTGCCGACAGCTGTGGGTCAAACCGGAAGCAGAAAAACCCACAAACTAAAACAACAACATTGCAAAAGCCTGAGGACGGGCCTCCCAACCCCCTGCTCCCGGCCATGCCAGCAGGGCGAAGGTCTCCATTCCTAAAAGCGAGAAACAGCGGGGACGCTTGGCCCCAGAGGTGCCCGTAACTCCGACGTCCTGCCTAGGGGCTGGCCCCGGTCGCCGGGCTGGACACCACAGCAGCGACCCTGTTTTTCCGCCGTGTTTAATTCGGTTTCACAGGAGCACCAATAAATAGTTTCTTCCCACCCTGAAATCGTCCTCCTGCCCCAGGCAGGGCCCCGGGACTGGCGATCCCGTCGTCGCGGGGCCACCCCAGCTGCACGGAGAGCCGCGACTCAGGCCAGCTGAGCCGCAGCCACTGCAGGGTTCCCGGGAGAGTTCAGAAGGGGCGGCCCCCTGTTTCCGGAATGGGCGGGGCCTTGGAGCACTACTGCGTGTGGGGCGGAGCTTCGCCAGGACGTCCCCGGGTGGGCGGGGCCGCTCAGGGGGCGTGGTTCTCATCCGCGGCGGTGACGATGACGTCCATCCAGATGCGCATGGCTTCGGGGCTCGGGGCCACCATGTAGAAAAGGCGTTCGTAAGTTTTGACACAGAACGTCAGGCGAGGGCTGGGGCTCTGGAACAGGCAGGGTACAGGGTGGTTAGGACGCTGACTCCGGCCACCGCCCAGCCCCCCTCCAAATCTCGGTCCTCCTGGTTGGTTTGTGGGAAGTTAGTGCCCATTTATGAAGAAACTACTCCCAAACCCAAGCTGGGTAAATCCCCTGCATCCATTCTGTTTTAAACCCTGAGGGCATGGGTTGAAGCCTGCCCAATTTGCAGATGAGAAAACTAGGCTGGAGAAGGGACCTCACTTTTCTGAAATGTCATACAGCTGGGGTTCTAACTTAAGGAAAGCCAGGGTTGGCTCCTCTCCACAGAGGATTCTAAACACTGCATCAGTTTCCAACATTTATTTTTATAAAAGAAAATAAGTCTGACACCATCGGGCTCATTCCCATCTGGTAACTATGGGCAGAAGCCAAGTAATGGCTGTATGATGTCCATGCTCTCAGTGGGCCTCAGTCCTACTCTGCCCTCTTCCTTCATTTATTCCCAGCTTGGCATGAGTTTCCAAGTGTGTATGTGTGTGTATGTATGCTCACAATGTCATTGAGATACATCCTTAGACCTTTTTTTTTAATTCGAGACAAAGTCTCACTAAGTTGCCAAGGTGGCCTGGAACTTGGAATTCTCCTGCCTCATCCTCCTGAGGAGCTGGGATTACTGGCATGCACCATGGAACCCGGATTTTTGCTTGAAAACTTAACTTTTGTCCAAGAAAATTAACAGTGGCTGAGAGCCAGAGTCTGAGGTGGGTTTTTTTTTTGTTTGTTTGTTTGTTTGTTTTCCTGTACTGGGGATTGAATCTAGGGCATTTTACCACTGAGCTACAATCCCAGCCCTTAAAAAAAAAATTTTGGTGGGGTACCAGTGATTGAACTCAGGGGCACTTGACCACTGGGCCACATTACCCCAGCCCCATTTTGTATTTTATTTAGAGCAGGGTCTCACTGAGTTGCTTAGTGCCTTGATTTTGCTAAAGCTAGCTTTGAACTCCCGATCCTCCTGCCTCAGCCTCTCCAGCTGCTGGTATTACAGGGGTGCACCACTGCACCCGGCCTAAAAAATTTTTTTTGAGACAGGGTCTTGCTAAATTGCTGAGGGCCTTACTAAATGGCTGAGGCTGGCCTAGAACTTGACAGTCCTCCTTTCTCAGACTCACAAATTGCTAGTATTATAGGCATTTGCCACCATGCAGTATTATAGGCAGTGCCATGAACTGCTGGTCTCTTATGCTGGACCCTGGTATCCTGACAGTAGCAGCTGTGGGTGGCTTTGCCCAGAATGAGCTAGAGACAGGGTAAGGCTCTGACTGAGAGGGCAGGGTGGCACTGAATGGGATTTCACCTTGAAGGCACAGCGTAAGTGGTCATAGTAGACTTCCTCAATGGCCTGGAAGTAGATGACACCTTTGAGCTTGGTCTCTTCCTTGTCTGGTGGAGGAAGGAGAGGGAGAAATAGAGCTAGTGAGAGGCATGTGTCAGGCCCGGGTCACTGGGGCAAGTCTGAGACAGGTGAGAGTCTGAAGGTCCAGGAAGTACCATCGCTGGGGAGTGAGTGGGTGTTGATGCTAGATGAGAGATTGGGAGTCTCCGAGACTGGACAATACTGCAGGCATCCTAGGTCCTTGAGAAGGGAAGGAACTCAAGGAAAGCTTGGGACCACCTAAAGACAAAGAGTCCCATTCCTGGAGCTGGGGTAGGGGAGGGCGCTGATATTGCAGGTTCAGACTCTTGGGCAGTTAGGAAAATGGGGTCTGGAACCCAAAATTATACTAAACTGTCAACTGTGTTACTGAGGAGGCCTGTGTGTGTGGATTCTAGGTCACTTAAGGGGAAAGGGGCTGGGGATCTGGACTCCTGGGCTCTGGATAAAAGAGGTGATTACTGGGTATATCAGAGGAAGGAACCAAGGGCCCCTAGTCTTCTACTTTCAGGGAGGGGGCAAGTGGGGGCCTGCACTTCGGAGCCCTGATGGAGGGGGCAGAGGCGACTCCCAGATGCCTGGGGTGGGGGAGGCATCTGGAGTGGGCTTCCAAAGTCCTGGGCCCCAGAGCTCCAGGCCGGGCTCACCTGCATAGTAGGCCAGGCGACGTGCCTGGCGGTCGAAGCAGAACCAGCGCTTCCTCCAGGTCTTGATGCGGCCACCCATCTTCACCAGGGGTCCTCGGCAGCAGCCACAGGACACGCGCACATGAGGACAGCTTTCTGGGTTGTGGCCCCACCGTTCCAGGTGCTGCCGGAGATCCAGGACGCGGGGGCCTGGAGGGCGGGGTGGGGGCGCGGGTGGAGCCTGCGGAGTGCCGAGAAAAGGCCCACCATGGGACTCAGGAGTGGCTGAGGTGCTGCAGCTGGAGCCCGGGAGGAAGCCAGGCCTGCTACAGCCTTTGGACAGTGATTTAACAACCACAATCATGAAAATGACCCCAACGGCTACATTTATTGTATTATTATGCCTAGGGTTTGTGGGCATCAAGTACGCCCCATCCCTGGACCCGGTTGAACCCTGGGCGCTCTACCGCTAAGCTATATCCTCAGTCCTTTTTAAGTTTTTTTGCGATAGGGTCTCACTAAAGTACCCAGGCTGGCCTCCAACTTGCTATGCTCCTGTCTCAGCCTCCCGAGTAGCTGGGATTACAGAGTAGCTGGGATCACAGGTGCGTGTTCCAGCACCGACTCTACCTCTGTGGTTGTGATGGGGCTCCTAAGAGCCTTATTTTACAGATGAACAAACTGTGGCATAGAGACACGAAATAATCCTCTGGATGGCACACACAGCTTCTAGGTGACACAGAGCTTCTCCATGAAAGCAGAACCCCAGCGGGGTTTTTTTTTTTTTTTAAATGCAGACTCTGGGCCATTCCAGAATAGGGGTCTGGGTGGAGGTGAGGTTCTGCATATCCCACAAACTCCCAGGGACACTGATACCGTTGATGCACCAACTGCACTTGGACCATAGGGAGCTTAGAAAACTCAAGTCAGGACAGAGGAAGAAGGCCTGAAGAGCAGAGAGGAGATGCACTGGTTAGAGACAAGGGAGAGGGGACAAGGTGGGGGGATGACCTGCTGCAAAGGAAGGAAAGACTAGGTGTAAGGAACCCCCACTAAAGCCAGCATGGTGGTGCATGTCTGTAATCCCAGTGGCTCAGGAAGCAACTTAGTAAGACTCTGTCTCAAAGTAAAAAATAAAAGAGGCTGGAGATGTGGCTCAGTGGTTAAGCATCCCTGAGTTCAATCCCCCATACAAAACAAACACACACCCATTAAGGCCTGGAATCTTCTCTGCATCATCTTACCAAACCCACACAGTAACTCTAAGGATCACCATACAGGACAGAAGCTCCCACCATGTGTTGGGCACTGTGCCAAGAGATCACAGTGATTATCTTGTTTCCTCTCCAGAGCAACCTATTAGCGTCCCCAGTTGACACATGGGGGAAATGAGGCTTCCAGAAAGGAAGTGGCTCCCCAAGGCCACCCACCCAGCTGGGACGTGGCAGAGCTGCGTCCCAATCCAGGTTAGCAGAGATGGGCTTAGGGCTCTCAACTCCCCCACCCCCTGGCTGTGTCACCTCCACAGAGTCCCTGTCTTTCTGGGAGCCTCCAGGTCTCCCAGGTCCCCCTTCCTGGGACTGTTTGGAGGTTGAGCTAGCTGCAGCCCAGACCTTTCCTTCTGGGCACCAATCCCAAGAGACACTTGCTCCCCTGCACCAAAGAGCATGGGCACACATGTAAGGACAATACACAGAACAGGGACTGTTTAATAAATGATGTGGCTCCAAGGCAGGGCGAACTGCTTCAAAGTCAGAGCCCTCCATTTTTAATGAGGTTCAGCTTGTGCCTAAGAACCCAGAAGCCCCACCACCCTGCCGGCTGCGTGGGGCCACCTGGCTCTGACTGGCATCTGACATGTTATCTGTTTGACTTATGGATGCTGCTTTTTGTTTATCATCCCCAATACACATCAACTTCCTGGAAGGCAGGGATTTTTATATAGGTCACTGCTGTCACCCAGGGCCTAGCACATAGTAGGCAGCTGATACATCTCGGGTGGAATGACTAATGGAGGGATAAATGGTTGAGAAAACAAAAAGCAGGTTGGGAATGATGTGCTCAATTATAGGACAAATAAATTCACAAAGTTTTGATCAGTAGATATGAGTGGAAAAGTATAAAAAGACTCAAAAGACATCTCAACAATAAAAACAAACAACACCTGTGCAGAAGCAAGATCAGAGAGGGGAAGGTGACCTTACTTTCTCAATACTGTATGATTATTTATAACAAAAATATGTTCAGGCTAGAT